CACACACACACACTCTCTCTCTCTCTCTCTCAAAATAAATAAATGTTAAAAATATTTTTTAATAAAAAAGTAAGTTTTAAATTTAATTCTTTGAATAGCCAATAGAGTCACATGGTTCAAAACTCAGATGTACAGGAAGGTGTCTTTGATGGAGGAACCTCTGTTTGCCTCTTCCCGGCATCCTTCCAGAAGCTTCTATGTGCCGTGGGAGGATGTTCTCACCACACCATAGCAAATGCCAGGAACTAAGTCCCTGCACACTGTCCTTGTTGTCACCATGGTGGCATTCAAAAGGTTTGGGATGGCTTCCTTTTGGAGGCTTTGGTCTTGGACAGGAAGCTTGAGGGGTGGTGTGAGATAGGGAATGAGCTTGAGGGGCCTTGGGGCCTGGTTCCCCTCCTCCCCTCTGCCCCCACCCACCACCATCTCTCCCCTCCTCAGGCCGGAAATGTGTCCTGCATGTCCCCTGAGTGTCCTCCCGGCCCCTGTCAGACCCCCCTGAAGTCAGATTGTTGTACTTGTATTCCAGGTAAGTGAGTCTTTGGGGTTCCGGGTGGGGGACTTGGCTTTTGTGTGTGTTTTTGGGAGCAGGGTGAACAGAGCAGGGGAAGGAGATTGAGTTTTGCTTCAGAAACTCCAAGCAAGTGAAGCATTTCAAAGTGCCAGCTTAACTGAGCGCCTACTATGTGCATGGTGCTTTAGATGCTAGATTGGGCTCACAGCCCAGTCTGCCCCTGCTCTAGGAGGCGCCTTCAGCACGGCCAGGAAGGGGTGTGAGTCTATCCTTGGCATGGCTCTGTCTTGAGACTGGAAGGGCGTCTCCCCTTCCCCACTAATGAGTTGGTCCTTTGTTGAAAATGTGGTTCTCTTTTCCTGGGATGACCTCATCATCATCACAAATGTTCCCCGACGGCTCTGTGCTGCTGCCTGCCAGCCCTTGATCTCATTGAATCCATGTGGCACAGCCTTGAGGGAGTACGATTCAGAGGCCCATTTCATAGATGATGAAACTGAGGCTCACGGAAGTCATTGCTGCCCAGAGACATAATGACCAGTTAATATCAGAACAGAACTGGAAATCAAGGCTGCCTGATTTCAAAGCTGGTGTTCTTTAAAAAAATTCTTTTTTTTTTTTAATTTTTAAATTTGTTTAACGTTTTAAAAAATATTTATTTATTTGAGAGAAAGACTGAGTGCGAGTGGGGGAGGGGCAGAGAGAGAGAGAGAGAGAGAGAGAGACAGAATCCCAAGCAGGCTCCAGGCTCTGTGCTGACAGCACAGAGCCAGATATGGGGCTCACACCCACGAACCGTGAAATCATGACCTGAGCCGAAGTCGGATGCCTA